GGCGGCCAATGACGACAGTCGGCACTAAGATCTATACAGTTAGAGAAACTCGCCACGGAGGCGGGTTACCATTGGCCCACTCGTTTCCGCGAATCCACACGAAATTTCTCCGATTGTCATTGTGCGAGTACGATTCCGGCGGCGGCGCACGAATGCGGCGTACGAGCAAGAGAGAGCTGGAGTGGCGGCGCGTCGCATTCGAAACGGAATGCGCGGCTATCGAACGCATTGCCAACGACTTGTGGGTGGCGACCAAGCGCGCAAACGAATAAACCAACAGTGAGAATCGAAATCGTAGAAACATCGCGCGCAGCCAGCGCCTACGCGAATGAGAATCATTCCAACAATCCAACAATCACAAACGTATATAACATTCAACGAATCGAATCGAAATAAAACTCTTTTGTTCATAGTTTATTTATTTACACCTGCGAGATATCCCTACCAATTTAACCTTGAACTTCAACGTGCATAATATCCAGTCTTTAAAAATAATTGATTTTTAATGTCTCCAGTTTTCCTCGAATTGTTATTATACTCATGCATAAAAAAGCAAAAGTATACGTAACGTTTCTTTTTTTTTGTGGAAGCCTCCAGCTATTTATGTACTACCATAAATTCAAGCAAAAATGGAAACCTAAAAAATACAAAAACGAATTTATGATTTTTTCCTCCTCAGACAAGACGCAAATTTGCAATGTTGGTAATTTTGGGGAAACGAATATAAATATAAGCATTTGCGAGGTTTGTGTATTTGTGCTCTTCAGGGAATGGCGGGCGGCAGAGCTGCGCTCGCGAAGAAACACAAAGTCCCTCTGCAAGACGCGACAAAAGAGGAAAAGTAGAAGAATACATTTTCGTGAGTAGACTCGCGGAATAGCAACGTTGGAACGGCACCGCCGAGCGAATTTAATACGCGGGGGCGGCCGGGCACCAGGCGGGGGCAATGGCAATACGAAATGGGAATGAGAATAGAAACGTGGATGGATGTGCGCGCGGAGGTGGAGATTGGGGGGACACGTCGAGTCGGCTCGATCCGACTCGAGAGTAGCATTCGCCGCCGCTGCCGCCGTTGCCGCCGCCGCCACCGCCGGAGTATTGGGAGCTCCGGGTAATGTCCTCATCCGGGCGAGAGAGCGTCGGCGCCCCGGTCGATACACACGCTTCTCGCCCGCCGCACCATCCCGCGCGCGCCTTGCCATCGTGTGCAGCAATGCTCTTCGCGACCACCCCCACCCGCCGCCCGCGACGACGAGAAGTATTTTATTTAACTTTGCGCACTCCTATATATTACACACTCTGCGCGAGGCGCGCTCGCACTCGCGCGCTCTTCTTTATTTCCACGTTCGCTTCCATTCCAGTATCGTATCGTATTTGCTTGCTCACCGCCGCCACCGCCACATTTTGGGCATTTGCGTTTGGCGGCGGCCCTTCTTATCGCATTTACTCCATTAAAGTTTCTTACTTGGTGGCAATATTTCAAACATTATTTTAAAAACAATGATTATATTGTTTCAAAAGAAAATGATCTTAAGATACGTCAAGACCACACATATATAAAACCACATAAATAAATAAAAGTAATTTCTAATAAAACAAAGAACAAAATAATTTCTACCAAAACACATAACAAATATAAAATGGTGTCCTTAAAGTTTACGGTTGCACACTTGGTTACCAAGGTATCCTCCCATTTCTACTAACGCCTTCTCGCTGCAGGAAGCACACAGAGAGACGTACATAACAAATATATAGCCGAGATCCATACAATTCCGTTTCCATTTCCCTATTTCCAGTTTTCCCACTTTCTGCCGTTTTCGGTGGTGGGGTATTATTGTAATTGCAAAACGCGGTAGTCGCAGAGGCGGCGGGCGGCGAAAGAGCATCACTGGTGGGGAGTGACGACGCGTTCGCATCGCGTCGTCCCACTTCACCTCCTGGTGGATAGCGCTCACACTAACACCACCGCCGCCTTGGCGCAGGCAACCAAACTAACACGACGTCGACGAGAGTGTGTGCGCCGCGGACCGAACGTTTCACATTGCTACCAATTTCGAAGCGAAACAAGTCGCGGCGACGAACGGGAGCAGCTGCTGCACGCCAGGCACGGGGGCGGTGGGTGGCGCGCAACGAGCAAAAACGACACCGCCGTGGCTGCCGCCAGACTCCGAAGTGGAATATCAATAATGTGACCGTGCGATTGCTGCACAGGCACAATACTAACACGCGCACGCACACAACCATCTAAGTTAGCCCAAGACATTGGCGGACGGAACGAAGAAATCACATTTTCAAATATGGCCGCCGTAGTCAAGTATCTACAACTTTCAATTGATGCGAATTTAAAAAACCAAATTATAACAACCCAAACTATACCATCACTTTTAACAATATTAGATTTAATTTTAAACAATATAGTAAAACCAAAGTAAACAATAATATCTTTTTGGTTGCTTTAGCTAGTATTAGATGAAACATCTCGGGAAATTGAGGGAAAACTCCAAACAAACAAAGCAGATTCATGAAAACCAGGAAACTCCTGCGCTCCAAAGCAACAATAAACTTGTGCAAACGTTGATTGCATCGAAACGCAGGGCGCATGTAAATGCACATACTCGTGCAGCACTCGGAGTCCGCATAGTCCTTATCGCCTTACAAGAGGAAACTCATGGAGGATTTCTTGCCAGCACGAACGCAAGCATGTTGGCGTATTTTCACAATAGGATAACTTCAGTTCGGGTGCATGTCAGACACCGTGCAACAACTGTGCGCGCCAAAGTTGTAAGGACTCTCATGCCAGAACGAACAACTGGCTACTTGCTAGTCTGCTGCTGTAGTTGCAGCTGTAGTTGCGAGTCGATGGAAATTCTAAATTGGAAATTGGAAAATCGAAATTGCATATTGCATACGGCATGCGATGTACTCTGCCTTCGATGCGCCCTTCCACACGCTGGAATAGCGAATATTACATATTACATATTATATTGCAATGTCCTGGAAAGCGCCGCACACCAGCCGGCTGTATTGATGCGAACGAAGGAGCAGGAGGCGGAAGCCTGCGAGTTGTGCAGACGTTAGAGAACTTGGACAGGATCTAACTCGTGCGCAAGTTGTTCAAAGTTCGACGTTGCGCTATAATTGCAAATTCAATCATTAATTCAAAGCGCGAGCTGCGATTCAATTATAATTGGAAATTCGGAAGGAGCGGAACGATACGGTCCATTTGTTTTCATCCATGAGCGGCTGGACAAAATGTTATACTTGGTAATATGAAAACTACTTGGAACAACCTGTGCTATCATAATTTATGACAATACATTCAATAGTTATTGATAAAGTTATATTTTCATATTCATAGTAAGAGTATAAATGAAAGGGCACGAGTAGTAGCTAGGGAAGCTGCAGGCACAAGTGTGAAGCGCAGGATGTATAAAATGTTTTTCGCAAGATTGATATGCCGCCATTCGACATCTACTATACGTTACTCACGCCGCCCGCCAGCTTTCGTCTTGGCATCGTTTTCCAATGTTCCGCGCTCTTCACGTCTAACGCTCACACACAATTCAAGTAGATTTCCACCAACACAAATACATCAACTTAGAAATAAGTTCTTTATAACGAAATTAAAATGTTTTTATTACTTTTGTTATTTATACCTATATATTATATATAGATATATAATTGATTTTTTGTTATCCGAAAGAAAAATAGATAACAAAAATAGAACACAAGAAAAAATACTTATATAAATAACGTAAACTCGTATATAACAGCTACCTACAGCCAAAAATAAATAAAAAAATCCCCGAATGAGAATAGAAACAGAATGAAAAAGAAAATTGAAGAGAAAGCTTGGTTGACTCGAAGCGCGCCACGAACAAAGCGGGATATTTTTTCCGCGTGCACGAAACACACAAAATGCGAAGCGATAAATCAATCTGGGGATGCTGTCACTTCTTTTGGAAAAGCGTGGCAAGCGCGCCGCTTCCTTGCGAAGTCGCCGTCGAGCCGTCGCTTTTTCACCAGCCGTGCGCTTTCCGCAACTCGACAGTAACACCGATGAAAACCGCATAAAACGATGAAAATGTGTGCCGTAGAATTTATTTTAAATACAAAAGGAATAAAAAAAAACGATTTAACAAATACATTTACATCATATTTTTTTAAATTAATATTATTGAACTCATTTGTAAGAATATATAATTTCATATTACTTTTTACGACAACACAACAAGAAAGAACCTAATAGATTATTTACTAACAGTAGATATATAATATGAATTATGGCCTGAAACAAAGTTAACAACTGGACGTTTTGCTGATATTAATGGCTCGCCCATAAAATTAAAATCAATTTAATTAAGAAAAGCGAAGTAACAAATGGCCGGCGCTCGATTTCATACTCAGATACGCGTTTAGTGCGCAACTTGTGCGTTTTGCGTCAGGTCATATAAACCAAGCAACTTTAGTGTGATATTAAATATTAGTCACATGTTAACCACGTTGACCACGGCGGCCACGCCATCCACGTTGGCGATAGCCATCGACTCTTCGTTTCGGAACAAATTTTCCATTTATTATCATCGCACATAATTGGATATAAACAACTTATAATTACGCGTATTACGAGAAAAATAGCAATATAAATCCTCTAAAAGTATATGCGTTTATGTTCAATTCGTATTTGATTAACAAGATATATTTTGTTATTGTTGATATGTTTATGGTCAAGGTGAGTAAGATTGAACATTTGCATTGGATGATAAAGAAATAAATTGCACTCTTGTAGAACTGCTGGCGCCACCTATTGATGTATTTTAATACTATGCATAATAATATTTACACATTCTCGCAGGATATAAATTGTAATGAAAAATAAAAATGCGGATTCAAATATACTTTACAATTATTGATAATTTCTATATTTAAAATTAATAATTCTATGCAGGAAACTACTGCCATTTGGCATTATTCAGAATATGAAGCTTGGTAGTCATGGATACAAAACAAATCATTGTCTGAACTTCGATTTTTTCCTGAAATGTTTGATCGATATTAGCTTCAGTAAATTTGTCGTTTCAATGTATTTTGTGGTTGTTACACGTACAAATTTTATATTTATCAAGTGGTTTGTAATTTAAAACATGGATGAACTTAAGGATTCGAGCGTCTTTCACACGGCACTTACTATTTGCGAATCAATCGAACAACACCCTTCTTATCCTGGAATTTTAGAACAAGTTCAGGTAATTTTACAGTTTACTTCAGAGAATAAACGTTTCTAACTGAGGTTTACAGAAATTATTATCAGATTCATCTGTAACATTAGAAAATTTCAATGAAACGCTGTTAAAAATTTTGCGGGAGCATGGCATTGAAGTGCAAATTAAAAACAATGTATATCACTGGTTGACGGCAAAGAGGCACTTCGAGTCGCCGGTTGTCGACGCTGCTTTCTTTAAACGAGCGCAAGTTCAATGGGATAAAAGAATTCACAAGTCATTAAACTCCATGTGCACTGAGTTGGGAATTACTCTTGCGAAAGCAAGAAGTAGTCCTGATAAAGAAGAGTTGACTGAAAAGTGGGGAGAACTTAGTAATTATGACATTGGAAAAAATAGTGTGTTTACAAACTGTAAATCTTTTAAAATGCAGCAAACTAAAGTTATCCTTTACAGATACAACACAATATCGTCCTGTGTATGCTCCCAAAGACTTCCTCGAAGTTGTGCTTCATTTAAAACACACAACTTGCAAGGAAACTTTAGATGATCCTGAATGGGAGTTTTCTTTCCTCCCATTACAAGTCAAAGATTTAGATCAACTTGTAATAAAATATCAAGTTGCTCTTTTAATACAATTTAAAATTGTTCCTATACTTTCAGAGAGCATTATATGCCCCATTTGCGAGAGGAGAACAAATTTTAGGTAATCACTCATTTAATACACCTTTGGAAACCAAACGAATGCAACTGGGAGAAAAAATAATTCGTCAGGCATATGCTCCAGTTGCCCAAGAGTTCTTAAAAAAGGGGTGCCCGAAAAGTTTAAGAGCAGATATTTGGAGTATTGTTTTGAATACAGAAATTACTGCCGTTGTATGTATTTATAATTTTAGTACAAATTTGTACTTAATTAATTTCGTTATTTTAAGCATCGAGATCATTATCAATCACTAATAATGCATACAATTCAATATGATTTAATGATTGACAAACTAATAATGAAAGACATTCAACTGACGGCTTCAAATGATGACCAATATTTTGTATTTGAAGATGTTCTATATCAGGTAAATATTGCAATGTTGCAACGGTCAAGGTGAACGTTTACGATTAAACTGTATACATTCTAGGTGATGTTGTGTTTCATGCGAGATAGTCAAATATTGAAACACATCTCTAGTCAACCAGGCTACATGCAAGTTATTTTAAAAGGTAAACAACCAACTACTGATAATACAATGACGTTTCCACCTAGTGGTGTGATTCCTTTTCATGGATTTTCTATGTATGGTAGGTTACACAAATTAGTTAACATTTATTACAATGTTGATTAAAATATCATTTCTTCAATAGCCGCCCCAATTTGTTACATTTATAAGGATCCAGTGAAGTTATATTATGTTTTTCGGTCGTTTTATTTGAAATATTGGCACCGGTTGCATCGACTTTGTGGACATGAGCAAGGAATAGTTGCAATTTGTCTTCTTTTTGAACGCCTACTGCAAAAATACGAACCAGTTTTATGGCATCACTTCAAAAAAATTAATATTCCACCGTGAGTGTAGACTTAATACTTTGTTAATCACCAAATAATTTTAATTGTTTTCAGAATTAAAGTTGTTTTTAAATGGTTAATGCGCGCTTTTAGTGGACATCTTCCACCGGAGCAAGTTCTGCAACTGTGGGATTTAGTTCTGGGGTATGATTCTCTGGAAATCATTGCTTTCCTTGCTGTCGTTATTCTGATTTTTCGTAAAGAGAATCTGCTCAGAGTAGTAACATTGCAAAACGTCGAAGCTGTTCTTGCAGACATTTCTTCTATCAATGTGATTGCATTGTTGCAGATGGCACTTATCAAGCCACCTCCAGAAATTAGTTAATTATATTGTGTAGTTTTGCATGTATTCTAGTGTAAAATGTGCCCAGAAAGCGAATAAATTTCAGTTCGTTGATTGTGAGGGTGTAATGATAACATAATGACAAGGACGTAAAAGCATTGCATCCCTGGTGGGGATCGAACCCACGACCTTTGGATTAGAAGTCCAACGCGCTATCCTCTGCGCCACAGGGACTCTTGTCCTGGGACAATCAAGGATATGACTTTCAGGAACAGTATAAGGTCCTTGATGGTAATGCTCAAAAGTAATATACGTAATTTCAATTAGACGATAGTTGTAGTAGACGCAGGTAACTTACTGTTAATAGTTCATTTTTGCAATAGTGTTTTTTTTTGTTAAGATTAACAGTTGATAGCAAGGACTGCATTTTATTTACATTATGGAAAAATTTTACTCCTATGAGTAGGCAACCCATACACACAACTGGTGTACAAACAAAAACATTATTTTTGTTGTATTCACTGATATTTAACAAATAAAGTAATGTAGGAATTTTTGCTGCAATACGTGTGATCGTATTATTCAACAGAATTACTGTGTGTACATTGTTTTATATACAAAAATAATGAAACAAGGACTCATTGTTTAATTCACATTTTAAAACAAACACAAGTTTTATCATCCATGATAAAAATAATGATTACAGTGGAATGCTGAGACAGTTTAATTTACTGTATACTAGTTACCTTAATACTTGTATCCAATACGCATAACAGTAATTATTTTCCCTATTTGTACTAATATTTCTACAGTAATTACGTAGCTGCAACTTACATCAGTTTCAATGCCATTCACGTGATGTGTCAAAACCAAAACATGTCGTGGCAGAAATGTCTAAATTTGCAATAAAATAAAAACGCTATAATCGAATGTGAATTACAATAAACACTCTACTAAAATAAATAAATAGAAGAACTAAATAAAATTAAATACATGTGGTAAATAGTTCACGATGCATCCTAAAAGTATCGTATGTTGTGTGATATTTCTAACCTCTGCATTAGTTTACGCTACGGAGCAATCGCTTCAAACGCAACAAGTCGAAACGAAGCCTTCCAACGCTTCCAGCTTGTTTAACGCTTCTAGCAGCTCAAACGTATCTATAACTCAGAATGGCACTTCTGATAATATGCAAGCAGAAGCCTCAAAAAAGACTGTGTATACAGAAGCAGGACCTGCCAAAGTGACAATTGCCCCAGAACACAAATCTGTTATTGTTGATGAAAAGAGCACAAATTCGACTAATTCTACAAGTTCACCAACAGTTGACCCTGCTTTATTAAGGCACTTTGGCAGGGAAGGTATGCCAATTAATACAAGTGACGTAAAGCCTGTTGTTGAGAGCCCTAATGACAATATTGCCTCAACTGAAGAGCAGAAAGAAAATAAAAGTAAGCCAAGAAAAGGAGTTTCTATGATTGAAACATCCAGCAGTCCAAACATTAACAATTCATCAGATTCGGGACCTACATCTCCACCAGTGAAATTGAATGGTACAGACTCATCCAGTTCACCATCTACAACAAGTACAACAACGACTACAACCACCACAACTACAACAACAACCACCACAACAACAACAACACCAAAACCTATTCCTAAAAAACCACTTGTTACAGTGGGTAATGATGATGAGCCATTTGCTCCCTCACATTTTGTATCATCCAAAAAGAATACTTCCAAGTCAGTGTCAAAAATACCCACATGGGAGAGTTATGAGTACAACAAGGAGAAGTCATCTAGTTCTGATTACATAGTGCCAATTGTTGGAGTCATTTTGTCAGTGCCTTTGGTTTCAGTTCTGTTAAACTTTATCTATAAAAGAACCAAAGAGTGGTGGTATCACAGGCATTACAGTCGAATGGATTTTCTCATTGATGGGATGTATAATAACTGATTTGAAAACCCCAGAATTCAATGCATTCCAATGATGACTTAATTTTTTTTACTACTGATACAAAATTATTGTTACATGAATCTGAATTGTTTTGGCAAATAAGTTGTGTATAGGATTGTTATAGAAGGCAGCTGACAACTGGTGCTCAATATGAGGCAATAAATTTGTGATAAATTTATATTTTATTGAAGGAAGAATACAATGAATTAACTCATGAGTAGACATGATAAATTTTTAATAAATAGCTTTTTATACTATTAACAATACTACTTATTAGATGATAAATTGATATTTTTCTATGGAAATGTTAATATAGTATTAAATGTGTATAATTAAGTGCACTTTGTTTCCAAGGATTAATTTTATGTATCGTGATAATGTGATAAACGGTTTTATCGATTTATTTGCATATTATTACAAATTATTGATTTTCAAATTGGACTTGTTTTCTAAAAAATATACATATCAAGATTGTTGATAAGGTTTCAAGGATCATTTAGAAATTAACAGATTATTTTAATCAAACATCACTCTTGTTTTAAAACATGTATTATTAATAAAGTTAGATTTATTTAAGATAGTCTATTTATTTATCCTTGAAACATTAGTAACTGAGGCAATGATTGTAACAACCACTAAACAAAGTTCCTTTTTCAGGCTTGAAGTGTTCTGCAAGAACGAATTTAGTTAAAAAGTGCATCGAAGTGCCATCTCGGGATTCGTATAGGTACCAAAACGTATTTGCAATAACAGTGTAATGATTTTACCGTTTTAGTATTTCTTTAATCATACGAATAAATAAATGCTGGTAATGCAATAATTTAATCTCAATTTATAAACAATTTACTTTTGTTTTTGTTTCATTTTGCAAATATAGGCAACACGGCGATGCTGCAGTAATCCAACATGGTCGCCGTGGAAGCGGCTGTTATTGGCGCGATTTAAAATCAATCTGCAGTCCATTTTGACAGGTGACCGTTTCATGTGTAAAATTTAATTGTGTTCTGAAAAAATTGCTATCAATACCTTGGACGAATACGGCGCGCCCGTGCACGATAAGCTCCACAAGGTATGTAAACGCAAAACACATTAGGCGTAGAATCGATCGCAGCGGACGTCGCCGGACGGTTAGAACTCGCGCTCTCCCATTTGCTCTTTATTTCCCCGTGTGTCAACACTAATAGCGCGGCGAGCGTGTTGCATGTGAACTTGTTGTGTACTGCCTATGTGTGAATGTGTGTGCTTCATTTGTTCCGGCGGTGCTCAAAAAACGAGATATACGGTTGGTTCAAATGCGAACGCTCTAACGGTCCGGTGCAATAATCGCAAATCGGTGTGCACTTCGTTGTGCCATCGCCAATGTGAGGCCGTTGAACGAGTGTCATCCACGCTAATAAATTGCATTTCGGGTAAGGTTAATAATGTTCGTTTGCGTACTGCTACACGCATAATTCCAATCGGTTTCTGCCGCTTATGGGGAACCTGATTCATACTGGTTTGTCTTGAACACTTTCGCACTTTCTGTGTCGCACGTGGGAATATCTTTGACCATATCCATGTGTCGCTGTTTTATTATTCAAGCGCCGATTTAATGACGCCCATGCACCACTTCATAGGCCACAGAGCATATCTTGTGTCTTAATATAAATACCCTCAATACCAATATAACACAAAGAGGAATTGTACTACTTATCTGCATTTAGTGCATTCATTGTATCACTCACTTCTCATGCATTGCAGATTCTTGAAACACTGCAATCATGGAGGATGATGAATATAAGAAGCTGCCACTGGATGAGAGATGTGTGCACAAACTATGGAAAGCAAGAGTCAATGGATATGAAGAAGTTACAAAACTATTTCGGCAGATTGATGATGAAAAATCACCTGAGTTTGCAAAATACCTAGGTAATTATCTGTTAAATTTCATGTTGCAGTTGCATGTGGGTATGAACACAGTTTATTTGTATTTGTCTTACTTCATCAACTAAATTTAGAAAATGTTTCATTTGGTGCTCACTTGCATTCCAAAATGTTGGTGTTTTATTTTGTTTTGAAAGTTCTCAGTCAGTATTGGTCTATTTTAAGAAAATTTTGAATGGGTTTTTACGATTCTGTAAATGAAATAAATCAGATTGTAGTAACTATGAGTTATCATAAATAATTCACTAATACTTCGGATCAATTGATAACAAATTCGATTTTTCTAATGCGTAGAATGATTCTTTACAAAATGTGTCTTTTCAATAGGGTTGGTGAAAAAATTTGTAACAGATAGCAATGCAATGGGTCAAGAAAAAGGTTTGGAAGCAACTTTGGCATTCGCAGAAAATTACGCCAATGCTGGCAAGACTGTTGGTGAAGTTATGAGCGGTATAGTGACAAAATGCATGGCTGGCCCGAAAACAAAGACGCGCGAACTAGCGCTGCAGGTAACGCTGACCTATATCGAAATAGAAAAACAAGATGCTGTTGTTGAGGAACTCCTTAAGGGGCTTGAGCTTAAAAACCCCAAAATTGTGGCGGCCTGCATTGTAGCACTCACCACTGCGTTACGCGAATTCGGTTACAAAGTTATTCAACTCAAGCCGGTCGTAAAGAAAATTCCAGTATTATTTGCCGACCGTGATAAGAACGTTCGAGATGAGGCGCGCCTACTAGTCATCGAAATGTACCGATGGATCGGCGCCGCATTGAAACCACAATTAAGCACGCTGCAGCCGGTCCAAGTCACTGAATTAGAAGCTGAGTTTGCTAAGATTGAGGGGCAGAAAGCGGTACCGACACGATACTTGCGCTCACAGCAGGAAAAACAAGCTATACTAGCAGTGGAAGCTGCAGAAACTTGTGACGGCGATGATGATGAAGAGGATGAGGTGGACGAACCAATTAATCTTGATCCGTATGAGCTGGCTACTCCAGTGGACATCCTTTCGAAGTTGCCCAAAGACTTCTATGATAAACTTGAGGCCAAAAAATGGCAGGAGCGCAAAGAAGCTTTGGAAGCTCTTGAAAACCTAGTGAAAACCCCAAAGTTGGAAAATGGAGATTATGGTGATTTAGTCCGTGCCCTCAAGAAGATGATTCACAAAGATAGCAACGTTGTGGTGGTTGCATTGGCCGCGAAATGCTTAAACGGCGTTGCCAACGGACTTAAGAAACGGTTTCAACCGTACTCGGGAGCATGCATTCCTGCGTTGTTGGAGAAATTCAAGGAAAAGAAACAGAACGTTGTCGTGGCTCTACGAGAGACTATTGATACTATTTATTTGTCGGCGAATTTAGAAAATATTCTGGAGGATATTATCGAAGCATTAGGTAACAAGAATCCATCAGTAAAAACAGAAACTTCACTTTTCCTGGCACGAGCATTCACACGAACAGTACCTGCTGTAGTCAATAAGAAAATCTTGAAAGCAATAACGGGCGCCTTGCTTAAATTAATGAATGAGCCGGATCCAGCAGTTCGTGATGCCGCCGCAGATGCCATTGGCACATTGATGAAACTTGTTGGAGAACGAGCCGTTGCTCCGTTTATTGTCGAATTGGAAAAAGATGCTAACAAAATGGCAAAGATACGTGAATATTGTGAGAAAGCTGTTATTGTTGTAAAGGTTCCCGGCATTAAAAAGGAAAAAACTAAAGTTGTTCCAAAGGCACAGAGTGCACCTACATCAGCTGCGGCACCACCTAAGGCTCCTGCAAGGAGACCTGCCACATCTGTCAAAAAACGACCAAAAACTGAAATATCCAGCGGGACAGCAACAATTGTCAAGTCAAAAGGCAAAGTTGTAAAGGTACCAACTAAAGTAATTGAGAAAGAACTGTCCGATGAAGAAGTGGCTGAAAGTGTTGGTGAATTATTACCCGCTGATGTTGTAAACGGCCTGGCTGATCCTAACTGGAAGAACAGGTAAAATATTTTAGTTAGCTTTTAAATTAACATTCACAAACTGATTTTCTTTTTAGACTAAGCTCAGTTGAGTCATTCTTATCGGAGATTCAAGGAAGGGAAGCATTTTCTTTGCCCGTTCAAGCTTTGACGAAGACACTCTGTAAGAAACCTGGCCTCAAAGACACTAATTTCCAAGTCTTAAAGGCAAGATTAGATGCAATTAAGATTCTAGCTGGTACTGGAAAGTTTTCTGTGTAAGTAATTAAGGTATACAAACATTCAACAGCAAATAATGAAAATTTTTGTTCTGTTCAGCACAAGTGCATCATTTTGCCTAAACGACATTACCGAAAAATTAGGCGACGCTAAAAATGGCACTAGTGCTGGCGAAGCACTTACTGCCATTGCTGAAGCTACAACTCTTAATCATGTTTCAACTATCGTCTTCGAATTTGCTCACACCCAGAAAAGTCCAAAAGTTTTACAAGAAACTCTTCTTTGGCTCGGGAACGCTATAAAAGAATTTGGTTTTGCGTAAGTTTATTTGTTTGTTGAATGAAATTTGTTTCTAAGCCAAGTTTAATATTACAGTAACTTGAATCCCAAGTTCATAATCGAAAATGCCAAAAAAGCATTAGCTTCTAATAATGCTCAAGTCCGCGGCGCAGCTATATCATTGTTTGGCGTTCTCTTCCTTTACATGGGTCATAATCTGCAAATGTTCATTGAGAATGAGAAGCCAGCATTGCGTGAGCAAATCAACGCCGAATTTGACAAATATGAAAACGATAAACCACCATCTCCCATTCGTGGAGTTGTTAAATCGGCAAGCAGCGATAGTTTGGATCCTGATGTCGAAGATGATGAGGCAGGTGGAGATGCGCCAGCTGTGAACGTGATGGATTTATTACCGCGCTCAGATATTAGCGGGCAAATTACTGAAGCGCTTATTGTTGAAATGACCGATAAAAACTGGAAGGTGCGAAACGAGGCTCTAATCAAGGTGGCTAACATCATATCCGAAGCTAAACTTATTAAGCCTAATATCGGCGATCTGCCGCAAGCATTAGCGCTGCGATTGGTTGACAGTAACAGTAAAATTGCACAAACAGCTTTAAGCATCTGTGAAAGTATCGCAACGGCCATGGGACCGCCTTGTAAACAACATGTTAGAACTTTATTCCCTGGATTCTTACAAGGTATTGTTTCAATGTATTTTTTAAAACTGTTGTTTATATTTTTTGTAATTATAGGTTTGGGTGATTCCAAAGCTTGGATAAGAACAGCTTCTGTTCAATGCATGAACACATTTGCTGATCAAGCTGGATATAAAGAGTTCTTTGAAGGTGAAATGATTCACGATGCACTCAAGTCTGGCTCACCGACTCTACGAAGTGAATTGTGGCTGTGGTTGTCTGAGAAACTCCCTAAAAGTAAGTGTATGCAAGTTTTTAAAGATTAGCAACCATGAATCTAAATATTTACTATTTTACAGTTAAACAAGTACCTAAAGAGGAATTAATCATCTGTATACCATACCTCTATGCAAACGTAGAAGATCGTAATGCAGATGTGCGCAAAAACGCCAATGAAGCTGTTCTCGGCGTGATGATTCACGTCGGATACGAAGCAATGGTTAAACAACTTGAGAAGGTCAAGCCTGCATCGAAGAGTGTCATTCAGGCACAACTGGAGAAGGTTCGACCCAATTTGCCCGCAAAACCCGCACCTACTAAGAAACCATCAGCATCTGAGGATAAAGTTGTTAGGTCAGGAGGAGCACGTCCAGCTACCACCACTAAAACAATCACGAAACCAATTAAGTCGGCTGTCGCTAAGCCAGTTGCACGGACTAAAAAGGAAGATGACATTGACACATCTCCTCTCTTGGTAGTAAATAATCTCAAACATCAGAGAACGATTGATGAATCCAAATTGAAAGTTTTAAAATGGAACTTCACTACACCAAGGCAGGAGTTTGTCGATTTATTGCGCGACCAAATGACCGCGGCGAATGTAAACAAAACGTTGATTGCGAATATGTTCCATGCGGATTTCAAGTATCATATCAAGGCCATTGAATCGCTGAGCGATGACATGCAGGATAATGGCCAAGCTTTGATTTCAAACTTGGATTTGATTTTGAAGTGGTTAACGCTGCGGTTTTTCGATACAAATCCATCGGTATTGCTCAAAGGTCTAGAGTATCTTTCTGGTGTGTTTCAAATGCTAATCACAGAGCAATATCACCTTCTCGAGAATGAAGCGACATGCTTCATACCATATTTGATCACGAAAATCGGCGATCCGAAAGATGCCGTCCGCAACGGCGTGAAAACTTTAATCAAACAGTTGTGGTTAGTGTATCCTGTAAACAAACTCTTTACCTATTATTTGATGGAAGGTTTGAAGTCGAAGAATGCTCGTCAGCGTGCCGAATGCTTGGAAGCAATGGCGCTTACTATTGCTAATCATGGATTAAATATTTGTATACCAACACCCCAAGCGTGTTTAAAAGAAATCGCAAAACAGTTGTCTGATAGAGATAACTCGGTGCGCAACGGCGCATTGAACTGTGCAGTTCAGGCGTATTACATCGTTGGCGAAAAGATCTTCAAAATGGTTGGTAATATTTCCGACAAGGATATGTCTCTCTTAGAAGAACGCATCAAACGTGCTAGCAAAAAGCCACCACCTCAACCTATAATGCAACCATTGCAAACGACAAAAGTTAATAAAATCGACCTAACGCAAAATATCAATATTCCAACTCAGCTAACGCCTACAAACGACCAATGCGATGATGATGAGGAACTTATGGATGATCATGAGAATGATGAAGAGGATGAAGATAATCTTCCTGAGGTTGCCCTGCCGTCACAAGTCGTCGAAAGGGAATCAAAACGCAATATTCCGAATCCATATCAGTTGGACTCGCATATTATTCAAAAACTTGACAGTATGCGCGAGGAAATCCCAGCGAAAAGAGTTGAAGTGTTTGACTTGAATTTCTTAAAGACGGAAGTGCTGGCACCTTCGCTGGAAGATGCACGTGCAAGGGTTATTCCTGTCTCACCTCCTAAACCTATCTTGCCTACAGAAGTTCTCACGCATACCAGACAAGCTAGCGCGAAATCATCCGATGCATTGGCGTTCGAGAGGCATATGCAAACATTTGGTGGAACTAATATTGCCAAAGCAATTGAGGCTGTGACACCTCTGGAGGAGATTCTGAGGTCAAACAAAGGGAATATTTTGGCGGATTATGAAGACAAGTTCATTACAGCTCTTTCACATCAACTCTTCAACTTGCACGGGTATGATCCTGGTAAAAACACAGCGTGTGTGCGACTCTACAGAAACCTATTGACGTTATTTGAATTGGTATGTATGACCACTACAGCGCAAAATTAAATGAGAACTAATTTTGTATTTTTCTTATTCTATAGTTTTTCGCTCATCCAAAATTGGGTCGCAAAATTACCACAAACACTATCAAACTGATAATTAGCGAGTTTTTGAAACTTTTGGTCGAGGACAGACTTGACAACGTCCAGAACAAGGACTCTTACATTAGAGTATTGAATCTTCATTGCGTAAAGCTGATTGAACGCGCTGATCATACCAATTGTATATGGTTAGTTTTAATATGTTTTTAGACTTTAAGAGACTTCATTTTTTCTTGACTTTTCAGTGCCCTGATTCAGTTTCTGCATGAATGCGTCCGTTTCCATGGCAGCTGCCGACTGACAGATATTGTGATGAAGTGTTTGTGGCGCGTGATTAAAATCATGCCGACTTGGGAAGACGACATTGATTGCGATCGCGTTCTGCTAGATATTCACAATTTCTTCAAGGAATTCCCGACACTCTGGTGGAAGAACAAGCCGTCCGACACCCCGATTCGCACCATCAAAACGATCTTACATTCCATCGCCAAGGTCAAAGGTGCAAGCCTCACGGAACATTTGGCAAATATTCCAAATATAAATGATAGTGAACTAGAGATGTTTATTCACAAAATGATAAGAGTATGTTCACTTAATTTGCATTAAATATATTGTTGTCTGACATTGCTTTTGATATTTGTTACAGTCGCTAAAATTGGATGAAGTGAAACAGGTACCATTAAAGACTGAATCGCGCAAGATGCTTCCGCGGTCGAGCCATGCACAGCTGCAAGACATCTTCCAGAAAATCGGTAGCAAGGAAGAAACGAAGGAAGGCTTGAACCTTCTTTACGACTTCCTGCAACAGAACCCCGAGTCTGACATCGATCCGTTTCTTCAGCGGTCGAGCCAGTTCTTCCAGGAGTATATTCAGAAGAATCTCAAAGAAATCGAAAACGAACGCAAGAATCCAACATCTGGTAAGTACTCAAAAGTTGGAAGGCATTTTACTAGAATTAAATGACACCGGTGGGTGACTAACGTACTAAATAAAATTACTGTTTCTACTTGTCTTATATATTGTTCATGTTTTCTGCTCTCTAGCTATCACGATGAAAAATTGAGAACGGAATAACACACTTCAACTACAATTGGCGACGATCATTTCGTTTATTTTATTAATGTTTGCTTTAATTTACAAGCTAACATTTTAGTTGTTTATTATTTTTGTTTGTTTCATCTGGCTGTGGTTATTAATTACAATTTTAATTTATTTATAGTTTAATCGTTTTGTTTTATTTCGCAATTTTTCAGTTCAGAGTTCAGTTGAGACCAACGGTAATACGACCGTAGTCGCCGGCGACGCTAAAGATCTGGATTATTACCGCCAACGATTAGCGCAATACAAAGAAACGTGGGACAAAAAGAACGCAAATACGGAGTGAGCAAAGTCTCTATTTACAATCTGTTAATAATCTTTATAGAGTAACATTTGCTCATTTTATCTGATTGTGAGTTTTAATATTTTAAATGTGTTTTGTTTTTATATTTCTTTTTGTCATTACAGCGGCTCTCTGCGCTGTAATTTGAAGATATTAACTTAAATTTTTACCGAATAGCAAGTAAAACATTAATATGTATTGTATGTAGACACAGTAGACACAGGGTAAAGAAGTTGTGCTATAATTTCTCTGGTTTGCATTGAACCCTGTTTTGTTGTGTTAAGTTTTTATGTACTGAAACATTTGATTGAAATTTGAAACAATTGCATTGCATATACGAATACAATCTACTTAATACAAATATGATAAGCATACATGTGGAGATAAAATAAGGGAGAGACTTAATGTAAGAATGAGTAACTTAATTAATTGTAAATAATTAGTAATATCATAACGATTTACAACCGAATGCGTTATAGTTGTCAAGGAAAGCAAAAATATAATAATTGCATTATTTGCATGAGAGTTTTGTAACAAATAATTGCAAGTATTGTATTTTTTAACTTCTAGAATGAAGCACAGGGCTATTTAAAAAATCATAGGTGCATGCTTTACTCATTGCTTTTAATTATTTATTGCGAGCGCCATTTTTACATCGACATAGTTTAATATTAACGTTCACTCAACACTCTTAAAAATGCACGATGATCTATATGTTTCAATAACTTTCAATAGTAAAATGGTTATTCAGATCAGTGTGACACTATCAAGAAACGTGCGAAACTTGCAATGCTTCTTAACAAATAATTAATTGGACGTAGTATAATTTCGTGTCCATTTTCAGTGTGCCTCATACGCCTAATATTAAAGAAATGTAGGCATTCGGTAATCAAAGCAAAGCAGGAATTAGAAAATGCAAAGTACTCGCAACCTTACACCTGCATTCATTGATTATTTGACTGATTTAGAAATTGATGTAGGAGGATAGACGATAGCGAATCAGCACGTTGGAATTATTTTGTGCGTTATAATATTGTTGCTGTTTTTTCGGAAATTGTGAGAACGTTTTTCAGCCGATAATGAATTAGTGTGTAAGAGAGTATATTTTTTACCTTAACTGAGCAGAAACTGTAAAATCTGCAGGCAAACAATTTGTAGTCACACTTGTCCCTATGGTTAACTTATTCATTAATGTAATTTAAACATTTAATTAATGTCTAATGCAATTAGAATTTTAACTATGTAGAATCGTAATAGACATCATTTATTCTGAGACAAAATATTTAAATTTTCACATTGTGGCGTATAAGAAATAAGATAATTTAATTATATATAAAATATTCATTAAACTGTATAAAGACGTATTTATTCCTTGTAGTTAACATGTCACTCAGAGTTTTGAAAATATCACTTTTAATTCCGGAAGTGGGGATACGGCGCAAGCAAGTAGGCTACTCCATCGACACGTTCGTTAAATTGTGCGGCGTTCAATTTCGACGCGTGCTCTCGTCTTCGGTTCCCCAATTGTGAGTAAATTATACGATTTTTACAAATATAACAATTCTTTACAAACATTAACTCGACACCTAGTCCGAGTTAACACTTAAGTGCAGTCATTTATTGCGATAAACGCTTGTGTTGCCAAGATTAACATGTTAAACAAACGGCCTAATCAAAATGGCGATAAATTCATAAATCGTAGAACTCGACCAAGTTTGTTACCAATTAACGTGTGACGGTGTGCCTTACACAGTTACAAGTAAATCTCAGTCAGTCCTCTAATAATTCACTAAACAATAATCAGATACATTAGTTATGGTAGTAAACGTTATTAGTTTATTTTACATTGTAATATTGAATATGTAATAGGTATTATTTGTTAGCGGCGCGTGTGTTGTGCGCGCATCAGGTTGACCGTCAAAATGTTTGCGCGGTCATCTTATCAGTTATTTGTCTTCCAACTGCATATGCCGCAGAGCGTTTGAATGCAAAATGTTGTTCGGCAGAATTTATTTTTCACACTAACATTCCTGAGTGATAAGATTGCACTATTTTAGTTCTCAAGATTTAATTTCGTGAGTTTTAAACATTCAAACATCGTATACTTTTAAATGTATACACATATTTCTTTTACTTTTATTTATGTTTGTACGAATCATTCTAAAGTGATTAATAATTTTGCAGTTTACCTGTAATGGTATAAAGAAGAACACATTCGCGTCGCGCTGTGCCTTCGTGATAGCTAATTGAAGGAGGGTCGTGCAATGTCCCCTTTCACTCTGTTAAGGAAAATACCAAAATATGTAGACATTTGGGTGCGTTTCGCGTTTAAAAAGTTCGAAAATTTTGAGTAAATTGTAATGCTCCATTAAAGTGCGCGTTGAGAAGCAATAAAGACATTCCAAACCAAACACGAATGATGCGGCTGAGTCGTCTTCAAGCATCCTACCCGCGCTTTGGACACAAGTTTGGATATAGTCGACGCATCCTCCTGTGAGACTGACGCACGTCCCAGTTTCTAGGAGCCGGATTAAGGTAGGTCGTGGTGATGCTCTGAACCGGAAGGTAGTCATGAGTGCCCTTGACTTTTGTATGCAGGATACATTTTGTTGAGTTAATGACAAAGGATAAGCACTTGTGGCTAGGTCTTTGGTTCAGGGATAGTCCACCCAGCATTGCTAAAAATGTAGGATGTTCCTATAAGAACCTAGTAAGTTTACCTGACATTAAACTGTTCTCTATTTTGAAATTGGCGGTCTCTATTACCACACCCTGAGATTTGCGCATTGAACACTGTGGTTTTTGTTTTGCTTCAACTTTTGTAGTATTTTATTTTGTGGTTGTTTGTTTTTTCAATTATCTTCTTGAGGGTCTTATAGAGTTAAAAATTCAAGTTGTTTTTGCTTTGTTTAGTATGGTTTTGCATCTTGGGTTGCCTAAGTTCAATTATGGTTTGTTTTGATAAATGTAGGTCGACCACTCGGTCAAATTCACAACCTGAAACGTACAAAACACTTCCAAAACTCTCCCTAAATCAGTCGCCGTAAAGGCAAAACAGTACGTTTGTATGATCAAATTCTTATTGGTGTTTGCGTCATTAAATATTTCAATAATGGCTTGGAGGTCTCATGGTAAATCGAACATGGAATTAATACGAAATTTACGAGGTTCGTAACTCTGTTAATTACGTCCAATTTAGTTCACATCCATTTATGGGACAAGGCAATACAATAGTTATATTGTTGATGTTTGTATTTTTAGCTAACGGAATTATTCGTAGCGATGTTGTGGAGCAAGCTATGCTTGCTGTTGATAGAGCTGATTATTCAGAGCGCAATCCATACATGGATGCACCACAAGGAATTGGCTATGGTGTAACAATTTCAGCTCCACACATGCATGCACATGCACTTGAATTACTCAAAGATAAGCTGACACCTGGTGAAAGGGCTCTTGATGTTGGCAGTGGTAGTGGTTACTTAACAGCTTGCATGGCAATGATGTTAGGAAAAAATGGGTAAGATCAGGTCTTCCCAGTTTATTTTACAAACTTAGATGAATAGGAAAACCAAAAAACTTAGCTTTATTGGTAAATCCTGCAATATTTAAATACCCATTTCATAAATTAGTATCTTTAGCCAAATTTACTATTTGCTATTAATAATTCTGTGCAATCTAAAATTAGAATTGCAGTTGGCATCGACCATATGTCCGAACTAGTTGAACTGAGTAAGAAAAATTTAAACAAAAACAATGGCGATCTACTTACGAGTGGACGCATACACCTGAAAGTTGGCGACGGCCGACTTGGTGTGCCTGACTTGGGGCCCTACAATGCTATTCACGTCGGTGCAGCTGCAGCAAACTTGCCGCAGGCACTTGTAGACCAGCTTAAGGTTGGGGGACGGCTAATTGTACCCGTAGGGCCTGCTGGCGGCGACCAGCAACTCGAACAAATTGACAAATTACCTGATGGAACGATTTCGCGAAAACCTTTAATGGGTGTTATCTATGTGCCACTCACAGACCAATCGAATCAGTGGCCGCGTATGTACCATAAATAAATATTTAGGCAGCATGAGGCATGCTTCGATAAAACCTGAAAAACCGTTTAATATCATGTAAAATGATTGATTAATTATTGTTTTAGTGAGCAGTAAACAGCGTGCAAGACGCGCTTGGCGTGTCCTTCGCAGACACATGCTCACACAAGTTGTTTCTAAAGCAGAAGGAAAAGAGGCGAAATCTAAACCTTTAAATGAATGAGAGGATCGAAAATGAAAGTATGAACTAAATTTCATTTTGTTAAAGTTTTCTACTATTACTGTTGACGTTTTTTGGGTTTTAATTTTATTGAAGCAACTCTCATTGAAATTTAATTTATTATTCATTAGTTTAGTATAGGAAACCCTCCATTAAATTGAGAATATATTATGTTTTAGGATAAATGCCTAAAACATAGCGCATGAGACTATGAACAACGTCCGAAAATGGAAAATTTGCTGAAAATATTGTTTGAATGACATGATGAAACGAATTTATTTTGTAAATATTGCGATGGTATATTTATGGAATGACAGCTGTAATTTATTGTGTGGCTATTGCTATATTCGTATATAAAAGTATTGTGAATATCAAAGTATTGGAATGTTTTAATTCTTATCTTCTATAAAATAAATATATTATACGCGGCTATCAAATACCTCCTATAGTTTAATCGTGCGACAACAGATGGCGCACCATGTACACTCGTGATTATTTAAAGCCACAACTGTCGCACTACCACATCTATAGAGTAGAGCACAGCTGAATCAACTAATAATAATAATGATACGTATATAAATTATCTGTTATTGCGATCACGCTGGCAATTTGTCGAGTCGTATTTACAACGCGTTACACTTGCGCTTAGTAATTATTTAATTATCATGAAACATTGCAACGATATATTTTTCGTTCGAAATGTTTGCGAGCGCACACGCACACATTCCTAACTTAAGTTTAGATTTGCATAGAAATCGTAAATAGCAAAAGCAAAGACGTGGTCGACGGAACGCATTACACGCAAATGCTCGAAACAAACGTAAACAAATACCTGACAAGCGAACAAATCATCCGTGTACAAACTACTTGTAAACGTAATCTAAAATAATCTGAGTTAAATCGTCAACTGTAGCAAGGCGTGTACCTTGGCAGTGTTTACTTGAGATACATTAGCAGCTTAAGTAAATATGATAATTTCATTGTGGCACGATGCCAAATTAATGATTAGGTGTGCGGGAATGTGTAATTTTACTCAGACGCTATTGACGTGGAATTTGTTCAATCGATATGATCAATCTAGGACGAGCGTAAATATAGCGTTAAATATAAAGAAAACTGGGAAGCTACTCGAGTTGCACCCGAGCGAAATGCTTGTGTATAGCATTATATTTAGGATCTTCCACGCCGTTAAACTTTGAAACATATTCACCGGCGTCTTTTGTTAGACGTCTAGACGCTGGCAATTTCATTTTCATTTTGGTTAGATCGAGTTCTTTACTGCATAACTTTTTTCTCGTTTGATAATTACTTTCTGTGAGCTTGAGATTTTGGGGCATTGCCATTGATCGCTAGGGAGGTCGTTCGGCGGAGGAACAAAAACTATGATTGATTTTATATTTATTACTGCGGGGGATGCCAGAATAGTATCCTACTGATATCAATTAACTCAGTGAACAATTATTTTGTTTAATTAGTTTAATTAATGGAGTTAAAATTCGAATTGAAAAAACTTTTATAGGCGCTCCTGTGTTTAATGCCCGTCAACATTTCATTCGCATGAAACAACCGCTATTTGTAACATTTCACAAGATAATTTATAGATAATACGCTACACGCCAAAAAACACGAACGCCCAAGCGCCGGGTGAGGAGTAGCGAAGCGCCAAGGCAAAGGTAAATTAAGCAAGAGACCTTGAGAGGTTTCGAGCGGACCGCACCTGAAACGGGAAATTTATGATCAGCTGATTTTTGCGTCGGCACTCGGCACATGCTCGCACTTTTTCCTCTCCCCCTTTGGTGAAGCGAAAAATCATGCGGCAGCGTTCATCTCTTGTTTACGTACTACGAGGCGGCTCTTTACAGCTTGCTGCTAGCGAAGTGTCAGAAATATCAAGAGCTTCATTTCGTCTTGTCTTATCTTCGTCTCGTCGGGCGCTCCCACTGCCACAACAAACCGACAACCCCAAATTCGTGAAGTATATCTCAAATTTTCATCTTTGCCATCCGTCCCGCTCGCGACACTAGCGCGCCTGTATGTAATCCTTTGTTGCTCCATCACTTGTATTATTTATTATGATTTTCTGATGTTTTTCCTCATATTTTTGGTGTTCTCTGGTCGCGGAGGACCGGCGCTCGACTATGAGCCGAGAGGAAGCGCTGGATAATAGAAAGACGCATTAGGTGAATGCGGAGATCGGCGAAGTCGGGTCTGACAGGTATTGTGTTCCCCATTTCGTTGTGTGCGTGCTCGCCAAAAAACGCTTTCATGCGCGTCGCACACCATGGTCGAAGCAAATTCTACCGATCGTACAGAGCTTACAGTGAGAACAGCGCGTACGCACAAGAGAGACATGAGTTGGTACAGCTGTGTGGAGCCGAGTACAACCTGACAACCAACACCTAAACAAGCCCATTCAACGATTCAACAGCTAAACAAGTTATTTATTGCCGTCGCTGGTGGAATCGTGCGGTGTAATAGAAATGCAAGCCAGGCATGAGCGCACAAGAGCGTGAGTGCCTAGGCTACAATGTAAAATGCAAGAAGTAAGCGCTCTTTTATTCCGTTTTCTTATTGCGCGTATTTTTCGAGTTCAACTTTTCTACTACTTCTACAATGTAGATGCAAATGACAATAACTGATTACTGCTTTGGAAATTAATTATTACATGAGGAATTTACACTTTTATGGACTGACATAACTGTGCTTTTATTGCCTACAATTAGCAACCGTAAAAAGTGAACTAGCAATTAGTGAAAACTACTTTTTAAACCGGCGAATAGACTTATTTACAACACTCTTATTGTTTCCACTGTTTCTACAAATGAAGCGCCTTGCTTCTAAACTCACAAATTTGTCTGATCATAGCTACTTTCTAGCTGGTTGAAAGTTTCTACTGAAACACATTGTATACTCCCATTGTGTAGGAAAATACTCACAGCTGTTCGAACATTTTGCTTCGTTTGTGTATATTGTGGCCTAGACGAAACTAGATTACACTACACCAGACCAATAAATGCATCAACACAAACAGTAAACGTCTCGGTGGAGGTGAAGTTAAGGGTCGTTTCCTCTAATGCCTACTCGTGGACCATAGATTTAGGGATTGTGCGCCCTTTAAATTTTAAATTCCGTCTAGCCTGTTTCTCGACCGCCGGGCGCTCGACAAAACCAAACGTACTAATGATAAGCGAGTCAGCAAGCCGTAAGCAGGTAAAAGATTTTATTTACACAGCGACACAGTAAGTACTTACTTACCTACACTCAGTCGTTCTGTAAACATTCCGTAAACGTTAAGTATATTACGCATTACGAGTATGTCGAGTATTACAAGTTTTAGCACACGATAATAATGTAAATCAGTCGTCAGAGAACATATTACGTTCGTTTTTCAAACAGTTTATAATTATTATAACAAGAATTTAAAGAAAATACTTTAATGTGAGCGAATATTTTACGTTCCTACATTTTACGATTCAATTAAGTGTATTAGTTGCTATCTTCGCATTTTTGGTGGTCGTAGTCTTTGTTTGGGGAACTTTAATCAGAATTTACTGGTGGGTCGGAATAGTGGTTACTTGGTTAGACGTTTTTGCTTCTTTTGCATCCCGCATCCCTCCTGTGACTACTCCTGGATAGTCGAGCAGTAGAGGCAACAGAACGGAGGCGCTTACTCCCGTTATCTAGTTTGATTGTTTTTGGGGAGCGCTTGCCCCTGCGGTTCAGAAACCTCCACCTTGTTTTCGACTATCAGTTATAATTCAGTTTTTCACTTAAGGTGGATTATAACGAAACAAAAATGTAAGAGTAAATCTTGTAATCTTTTTTAACACCTAATTATTTTGAAATTTAAAGCCATTGTTCAAATCAGGGTTGAATTTCTAATTTTAAGAATATAATATAGAAAGGAGTATAATTCCATGATTACTTATCGTATATTTTTTGTTGGTTTGCTGTTTGTAGCTTTTTTTCAGACATTTATACGTATTTTATGTATTTCCCGAAGTATATTTACGTGTTTACGTGTTCTACTGAAGGTGTAGGCAGCGGGCTCTGTCCGACCTGTCTTGGCTGCCTGTTTGGGCATTTCTTTTGCTAGCTATTTTATTATACTATTCTATTTCATTCTTGCCATTTCTATTCTTTGCCATTTACACATTATTGGCGGAGCTACTTATGAACGAAAACCCCGCGCATTCCTTCGATATTCGGATGGACACGAACGCACAATGCCCAGCAATATTGGGTATTAGTTATGTTATAACAAGCATCTCTTTTATTTTCGTGCTTTTCTTGTGCCAGTTTCACCTCTAGCTTATGCCGGTTGCTTCAACGCAGGTTAAGACTTTACCTCTTTTAGTTATTGAGCTATTATGACCTTTCCATTTACCACGCACAAGTTGGAAAAATCATGAAAACAAATTTTAGTACTTCGAATTAGGGTTTACATGTTTATCGTAAATTTGCTATCTTTGTTTGGACAGAATAAATTAAACTCGTTTTTCTTACAAACTCTCAAATATAATGTCAATATAATTATTTTGGGTTTAAGCAAAGTTTATGGTTTCGGATTAGAACCTTCTTTATGTTTGGCTTCTTTATAAGGAGATTGAAAAACCAGCGAGTGTTTGAACGCACGCCTGGGCGAGGTCGTCCCGCCGGAAGAGAAAAAGAAGTCGGTCATTGACAAGCCGAGGTGATTTATGTTGTGCTAAGAAGTTGAGGGCGCCTCGAATGTACAAACACGTAAGTTTTTTCTCTATCGCTGAGTCGAGCAGCCCGCCATTTGTCCACGCTATGTTCATGATGTCCAAATGCCCGAAATAAAAATACATTTATATCCTCTTTCACTCGCAGAGAGCACTAATATAACACCCAACCAACAAAAAAATGAAAAGCATGTGCGCAAACTTATTAAGATTCTTAATCGACTTATCACTTAACGTTTTATTTGTGTGTTTAGCATAATCATAAGACTTTAAGCAGTGAAAACGAAAACAATTTTAGTTGCGTTTTCCAAGGGTGCATTATTTAGCCATAAAGTTAGACGTCGTAAACTTATACGTTGATAATGTGTACGTGGAAAGCTCTACAAAGTACAAAACCAAATCCAGTCAAACCGAAAAAAAAATAGTAAAACAGAACAATACGCATAAAAACGTAAAGCATAAAAATATGAAGCGTATAATAGAATAGTAAAATTATATAACAGCTAAGGGAATAACAAGGACAGGGGTGAATGTGGAGATGTAAAGATGTAGAACTGACGGCGCACACGGCACAGCAGAAGGCTCACAACCAAAGGGAGAGACGAAAGATTCGGGCTGGTATAACTTTCCTTTGTATAACTTTCCAAGTAAGTGAGAGGCGCAGAGAGCATTTGCGCGCCCTCGATGTGTACGTATTGGCCAATACGCGGTGGTTCTATGTATGTATCCGT